GCTACAGAACGATATATAAAATTAAGGATACTTCTTGAAGTGGTTGATAAAATTTTTGTTTAAGGTGGAGTGTTGAAAATATAACCAAAATTAAATAGCAAGTATTGTTTATTTCTAGAAAATTAAATGGAAGATATCTCTACAATATGAAATAACTTTTGATAGTTGTTAGTTGAACTTTTATTATGGAAATCTCTTGATTGTGTTTCAAGAATGATCATTGCAAAAGTATAAAAAGGCCTTTAGCTTTGTCATTTTGATGTGTAAGAGAAAGAAATCTAGTAGAAATTCCTCATCTCTTCACATATTCTCTTCCACTCTTATAAATAATTTATCTCTACCATTTCATTCTACCGCTCTTTAAATCATACACATACTGGACCATCTTATTAATTTTCTTTATTTTCATCACCCCAATATTGGCTTATCTATTATTTCCATCCATCATAGGCATAATTTAGCTATTATCTGCCACCACCATTATCTTATAATATCAAATCATCTAGTTATGCAAACCTATACTAGCCTTCTTAAGCCTCATAGTATTAACCTACGTAACTAGCATCAGATGGTGGATTTGATAAGCAAGAGCATTTATTATACAATAAGCTTCAATGAAAAAAAAGTATTAAATGTATTTATTTTTTAAAAATTTAATAGCATTCCTAATCATTAATATATTTTAAGAAAAATTTTAATTACTCTAATTATGTTAAATTGATATTTATTTGTTCCAGGAATGAATTTTCTTTTTATAACATTTAACTTCAATTAGATAAAATGGAAATAATAAAAAAGCTTGCATCTTCAATAGTTATGCTAAGACTATACAAGTATTCCTATATATCTCATAGGGATCAATCATACAAAGATTATAAAAAAGATAAGAGATCAATTACAAAAGATTATATATTAAGAAAATTATAACTTCTTTTTACAAAAGGAAGCTAAAAGAGAAGGTATCAATTGATTGAAACATCTAAGATGATGAAGTAGGTCATAACTTGCCACTATTTCTTAGCATTATATTAGGTTATATCTTATAAATATTATATTAGCTGGTGAATTCTGAAGCCTTTCTAAAATGAGTTCATCAAAGGAGGCCCCTTTAAAAAAATCTACGAGTGTTTTCCATTATCTTTTATACTAGTAAGGGTTTATCCCGTAAGTCTTATACAATGAGCCTTATGTCCCCATTTAATATACAACTAAAAGGAATTTGTTTCTAATCTTTAAAAAGAAATTAATACCTAAATAAGGGTCAACCAAATCCTTGTGGTTGGAGAGAAGAGAAACAACTGTGAGTACAACAATACCAAAATGAATTAAAAAAAGATTATGATTGGCTTAAAATCCAAAGTTAAGCAACTTTTTACTGGTAAAGTTTTGAAATCCATGCATTTGAATAGAAAGAGTTGTTGGATCCATTTTTAATATAATTGCTAAAATTATTACAGTATCAAATTTCACAAATTTGTGACATGATGAAACCTCAAATACACGAGTTTAAACTCGATGTTGATGGTTCTTTGAAAAAAAAAGTTGTTGGTTGTGGTGGTTAGATTAGGGACCATCAATGTATTTTGCTTTTTTGGCTTTGCTTCTAGAATCCCTATTGGGAATATCCTTTTTTTATTTATTTTTTATTTATTTATTTATTTATTTTATTTTTTTTCTAATGGGAATATCCTATTTACTGAATTGAGTGCTATCTATAAGAGTATCCTATTTACTGAATTGAGAACTCTCTATATGAGTCTTTTACTTTGCATTGAAAAAAATATTATGAATAGCGCCTGGATTGAATCTAATTCTAAAATACAGGTCTCTTCAATTAGTTCTAATAAATTCCACAATGCTAAGTTATTTTACCAGTTCAATATGAGTTTAGCCTTGCTTAACAAAGTGAATTATATAATTTCCCATATTTGGAGGGTAGGATATGCTTGTGCTTATTGGTTAGCTAAGGAAGGGTTAAGTCTTCTAACAAGATTTATTTTTACAATGACTCTAACCTTAGTATCCTCAAAGGCATGATCAGGCTTATAATTTTAGTAATTCCAAATATTAGATCTTAATGCCTTGCTTTTTCATGATTTTGCTTCTATTTTTAATGGTCTGTTTCTATTTTATTTTAAGTTACTTTCACTATCCTTATATTTTTTTTTTTCATAGGGGATTTTGTCTTTACTTGGTTTTTCACTATCTTTTGGTTTTATCTTGCTAATATCTACATACTTATGGAACTCTTGCTATTGTAGTATTACTCTTTTGTCTTCTTGTTTCCTGTGACTATTAGTTTTTGTTTCCGTTTATTTTCTCTACTTGTGTGTTATGTATAGTTATGTTTTATTGTTTGAATGATTTGGAGCAGGTTGTATAATGATTCCTAGGTTTTAATGTTTCATTTTCTTTGACTTTTTATTGTGTTGTTATTTGGCCATTCAGTTTTTCTTATTTTGCTACTTATCTTTTGTTACTAAGATATTCTAAATTGTATGTTTGTTGATGCTTTCCCACTTATTTTGTACTAATTAATTTTCTATCGTTATTGATGTAGTAATTGTTAGCTTGGTATGTGTTGGATGGGTGATTTTTTATTTGATGTGTTGTTTTGCCTCTCGCCATTTTTCCTCTTTTTTTTTGACTTTACATTGTTTTTAGTGTATCTTTTTTGCTATGGTACATCTTTTATGGTTTTTTTTTTTCATTTTCATGTGATTTGTTGCCCCAATGTCATTTGGTTGTGAACAATTTGGGACAATACAAGCTTTGGAATTCCATGGAATATGTATCTTCTATGGTCTACTGTTTTGTTTTTGCATGCTTCTCTAGGAGGTCCTAATTGTTCTTATAGCATATTCATGCTTGCGCTTATTTTTGGGTTTGGCTTCTAACCATACCAACCTTGTTTTACTTTTGATTTTTCGTGTTTCTTAGTAGGAAACCTATGCTCTATAAGTTGTATTTTCTATTTTAATTTTATCTCTCGGAGCATTAGTGAGATGTCGTTTCCTTTAAGAAAAAGAACAAAACCTCGTCTTTGTCAAATGATCCATTTCGTTCAACGAAGTTTTAATAAAGCCCTTTCTCAATAACCTCGAGTAGAAGATTTGATGGCGGGTCTCTAATAACATCAGTCCAAGAAATGGTACACTCTTGTCAAGCAACATGAAAGAGATAGGTTTGTGAGTAATGGTAGATGCTAAGTTAATTGATCCATGGTCATGGGGCAGTTCTTCTGCCGTTTGATTTTGAGAACCTCAACATGAGTCGCAGAAGAAGCTGGTCTTGGTTGAGTAGTAGCTGGCGATAGAAATGCTCAATGATATCTAATTTTGAAGCACCGTGAGTGCAGATACATTGGTTGAATGGTGTTTAAGGTTACGTTTTTAATTATTTATTTATTGTTATTATTATTATTATATTTGGTGATTAAGGATACGGTTAATTTAGAGAGCTGCATCATCAACAAAGGGAGAAATATGGTTTTTGGCGCACTTCGTTTGTGGGAGGGCTGTGTGAAGTGAGTTTGAAAAAGGTTTTAATTTCTGTAAGGTGGGTTGAGTAGGTTCCGAAATAAGAGGGGATCGTTCAGAGAGAGTAAAATATGTTTGAGAATTGAAACAAATCTACTTTCATTTCGAAACATATTTGAGTTCGAAAGCAGCACTATGGAATTGGGGTATTCAATTGAGTGTTGACCTCAGAAGTGATATTATTTTTAACAATCTGTTGATCACTCTTGGACGATGGGTAAATGATGTTGAAAGTATAGGTTAAAAAACAATAGATTTATGGGGAGCAATAGCAATAATGTTATTTTACTAAGAGGAATTAGCTGCTGAGGTGTTCAGCATGGATTTCTTGTTTTCTTGAAATTTGAACTCAAGATGAAGCTTAGAACTGTCCTGAAAAGTGTTACCAGTGATATGATAACAAGAACCGAAAGCAGAAAATTTATTAACATCCGCATTTGAATACTGTGAAAACTCAAATCAAAGTTTTTTTTTGTAACGTCGAGCTCTATATGCATTCCACCAGTGGAATGCCAAGAAATATTAACAGTCACAAAAAAAAATTTTAGTTAGTCTCCAAAGATATATTCAATAGAGTGAAAAATAAATGGTTAATATAAAGTGGACCTGAGCTAAGGAAAAAAAAGCAAATGGAAACAACACGAGGGATTCAGTTTTCTCATTAAAGTTTGGAGTAAACATTAAAGAGCCCCATAATAAACCAATTAAATCGAGTAAGAGCGTCGACAAAAACTTCTTGAATAGTTCTCTCGATGGAGTTGAATAAGAATGTGTCTTCTGTAAATGCTAAGCGCAGAGAAAAACTTACGAATGATTTCTAACGACTTTGTGCACAAGGTGAACTGCACTTGAGAGATTTCGGAAGGGGCGAGGAGGTTCTCAACCTCAGCATTTGAAAAAATAATTGTTGGTTTCCTTTCTATGCGGAAGGGTCTCTAACAATAGAGAACAAAGGACCAAAGGTCGAGGAATTATGGTTATCTATATGAAATTTAACAATATCAACATGGGAAATGGCTTTTCTGTAGAACACAAAGTCCAAGCACGAAAGCTGGAGGATGAGTGGCAACTTATCGTGTTTCAGATGTCTGTTGCCCAGTACATTATATATATATATATATATATAATTTTAAGATAGGATGGTTCATTATCTTCACCCTTTACTTTTTTTCTTTTTCTATAATATTATAATATTTGAAACATACTATTCAATCAAATCTATAGCGTAAAAAATAGTATTATGAAATTTCATGTTCATCATACTAAATTAGCAAAACATTAAGCTCATAAATATAACAGCCATACGAAAGATCAATTTTTTAAATAAATGTTCTATTAAATTTTTTATGTTGAATGTTACTAAACAAAAACGGCAAGTTTGATCTAGTATAAGAAAATGCTGGATGCTCTACCGAAAGGTGTTTTGATGATTAATCTAAATAAAAGAAAAAGGAAAAATACCTTCTTTTTGTAGGTATCTGTCTGGGTGCTGATTACATGATACTGCCAAAAATTAATTCAAAGTATTAGCAACCAATCGCCAAACATGCATTAACAGTGTACATACTGATAGAGAATTTTCAAAATTAATAAAATGTATGTTACAGCATTTGATAGAAATCTTCTTCCAAATTTTCAACATTTGATTCAATTTTATACAAAAGTAAACGGATCAACACTTGCACAATACTTGTATTTATTTGATCATAGTAAATTATTTAAACGAACAACACAATTTTCTAATTAGCCATGTAAAATTATTCATTAGTTGTTCTACATAAAACCATAGAAAATACTACGACAAGCATTTCCATGCCAGGGGAAAAAAGCAAAAGATCTTAAGTGGAAAGAATTATCTAGGAAAAAACTTCGAGAGAAAAGTAGTAAATGAATTTTTTTGGACACAATTTGGGACCTCACCTTTCGATTCCTTACAAGCTTCAGGGCTTCATCCATATTTTGCTCAAGACCACGCAGTTCCTTGATTTCCAACCCATCTAGATCCTCGCCCATCCTCTGCCTTCTCATTAACAGTGATCATGGGACGACAAATATTTCAAAAAAGATTAATCAAATGCAACCGAAAATTAACAAAAAAATGAACTAGGAAGACGGAAGCTCCAAAAATAGAGAAATCCTATTGAAATCATTAAAGAATATTGGTTTCTTAGCTACTTGTAACACAAAACTCTTTGCCCCACCTTATTTCCCTCCTTAGGTTGTGGTTTATCTCCTTCAAATGATTCAACGTATTCTGCATCTTCTGCTCCGATTAATGAAGCAATGAACTTATTAATTTCAAATAACAACAAAAAGAATGTCAAAAAATATTAGAGTTAGGAAAGAAATGGAAAAGAATTATATGAGAAATTCCTTACAAATTTTTAAGGAACGAAGAAAAAAAAAAGCACCTTACAAATCTTGCTTTGCATCAGAAGTTATGTGTACGAACAAATATGTACTAAGATTCAGATTTATTAAGAAGTTCTAATAATATAATAATTATCTTTTTTAGATTTACACATTTTCAGAGGTAAATCATTATCAAAGACAAAGGCTTCTTTGTAAATATAATTGAGAGTAATAAGACTTGGACGTCTAATTCTCCGCCATCCTACCATGTTACACCGGACCATAAATCCTAATAAAAAATACAAAGTAATCATATAAATATAAAAAAAAGAATTATTATAATTTTTCGACTCTTATGAATTCCTGATAAATTTTTTATATGCAAGTAACTCCTACTCCTTATACTGTTTTGTCTAATATAGAACACTCGCCTCGTACTGCGCGCTCCACAGATTGATGCCGGACACCTGCTGGTAACGATCATATATACTCTTCGAGCTGGAAGCAATAGGTGTACGTAAGCAACAGAAACCCTAAGAATGGGAAAATCGAAGAGCAAAAGAAAATGAGAAGAAAAAAAACGTTCAAAAGCAAACATACTCAGTGGACGGGCTGCAATACTCAGAGAACTTGCCCGTGCTCGAGAACATTACAAGTGAGAGCTGAGCGTCACAGAGAACTGTCAATTCGCTCGCCTTCTTCATGATCCCAGCTCTCCTCTTCGAGTAAGTAACCTGCCGGTTCGTAGGGTTCTCTATCTTCTTTATCTCTATCTTCCCCCTCCCCATGGATCTCTCTCGTTCTTTCTCTCCTTCTCCGAAGCAACAGAAGCAAAAGAGATGAGATTGATAAGGGTAGGAAAAGGTTCAAAGTAAGCTTATAAAAATGGAGGCAGAAGAGACGAATTGAAGGCATGTAAGGCTGGGGAGGAAAAAAGTAGCAGCTGGGTTTCCATTATCGGGCAATGGCCAAAGGGTTGTGCGTACTACCTCGCGTGCCATGTCTGACCGCGTTTAATAATACGGCCATTTTCTTGCTCTGAATACTTTTATTTATTACAAGCTAGACTTATCCCCCTCAAGGTCTTTTGGTTTGAAATGTTAACCTGTCGATTTATATAATTATATTTTGATTGTTTGTTTTTGGCGAAAAAAGTGGATTAATTAAAAAATCAGTTAAATTAAAGTAGATTTTTGAATTTTTCTATGTATGAATCACGGCTTAAAATTGGCAAAAACTGAATTATTAATGTAAGAGAATTAATCACTAAGTTATCGGAAATTTATATATTCTGTGAGCTTCTTGTTAAAATGTTTAGTTCATTTTATCGGTTTTTGTTCTTAGCATTTTTATGGTGAAACGATCAAAAAGAACATTTTTCTTTCGGGCGGAAATAGTTGCATGGAGTCTTTCTTTCTCTCTCTAGGGAAGATTGGGTGGTGATAGGTCTGAGGCCCTCTGTGATTATCTCGGGCTGAGCGCATCGGAGAGCGACAGATCATTGAGAGAGGGAAAGATGGGGACTGTGGATTCGGATCTCTTTCATGAATGTAACTTTTAAAGTATTCATCCTCTTGACACTTCAGCCTATAAGAGCTTTATGTATATTTTCATTTCAATATAGATTAAATTCATATGTATTTATTTTAGAAATTCAAAGAAAATACCAAAGCTTAATATTGTATAAAATAAAATAAAATAATAAACATATATGTAAATAAAGAGTATGTTGCTCATCTTGATAGAGTTTAGACTTCCAATCAAAAGGTTTTTTTTTTGTTTGAAAATTTAAATTTTATTCGAATCAAAAGGTCTTGAATTCAAAACATGCTTATTTATTGTGTGTGTTAGTATGCATTTAATTTGCTTAAAAGACCCCCCAATATTTGATGATATATAACCTTAACAATAACATACTAGATATAAGAAACAATAATAAAAGATTGCGAATGGAAATATATGTTTTTTTAATTTATAAATAATATATTGGTCTGTTAATTTATGAAAAATGTGCATTACAAGTCCTAAGCTTCTAGAAATTATGATAAATTGCATTGAATTTTTATGATATGAAGATATTTACAACATCATATAGGAGCCACAAGAATCCAACACATATAAGAGGATGATGTGGTTGATTAAAAGTAATAAATCAAAAATAAAAGGCATGCATATTGGATATGATAACATAAGTTAAATGAAATAACATTTATGATCCTAACAAAACAATAGAAAACTCAAACGCATGGGAAACTTAGGCTTCGTTTGGGACGGCTTTCTTACTGGTTCTTAAAGCAGCGTTTTAGTATAAAAATATTTTTTGTACTAGAAGCTGTTTTAAGAAGTAGAAAGAAAGCTGTCCCAAACGAAGCCTTAGTTTTAAACAAAACATCAAAAATAGTTTTAAAAATTAATTTATCTTTATTGTCTATTTATTTTGTAGGATTTATTAAAATTTTTATAGAATAAGGAAATTTATGATTATATGCGTTAGATTGTATGCATGCACACTTTAGTTCTAAGTGGTCCACTAGTCATTGCTGGTTTATGTTCCTTAAAGTTTAGTAGATATTATTTGATATCCCTATTAATGTGAATTGCAATGATCAAATTTTGCTTAGTTATCTCATGATTGTATGTTCAAACTTCAAAATACTTTGCATTTTTTTAAGATACAAGAAAGTACTACTTATGCTTTTGGTTAATTTTGGAATTCTACTGCTGTAATTAATTCATCTTTATTAACTTTGAAAATTTTAAAAGGTTTTATTCTTGTTAATAGTAGGTTCTAAAACAAAGGTATTATGTTGGCTTCCAAATGTTATATAATAGTTATTCATTATTCAATTTCTTGGCCTGTAAAGTTTCTCAACCCCTCTTCTGATGAATTCATACTTAACATTCATACAGCTATTTTCTTTATTCTAGGTGTGATTTTAGTGGTCTGATTCATAATCAAAAGGGTAAGTTCATTTTTGGCTTTGCTTCATCCTATTCTAAGACTGATGCTTTAGATGTTAACTTTTTAACTTTGTATAATAGTTTAAGGATTTGTGATTTTTTTAACATTCAATGTTTATGGATTGAATATGATTATGTGAATTAAATATCTCTTATCAAGGAGGGTTCTTAACTCAATTCTTATTTATTTTATACATATTAAAAATTAAAGATCTTCTAAGTTTGCTATTAGGATTCCTTTTATTTAAAAGGTGGGTAATGTTTGTGTTCTTTGGTTGGCGAAGGAAGGCTCTCTTTATAGTGGTCTATTTTGGTTTAACCTTATAATGTTCCCCATTTTTTGAATGGGAGTTATCTTTTGGATGTTGTTGGATTCCCTTATATTAGCTAGTTTTTTAGTTTTCATGTTGGCTTGTTGTATGTTTTTTCTTTCTTACCTTTGGTGCTAGATTTTGTGTATTGTTACTTCTCTATTTTTTTGAGTCTTCTTATAACTTTCGTCTTATGTGTCCTCAATTTTTGATTATTTCTGGTTTGGCTTGGTCTTTCCTGCTCTTTGGATGTAGCTTTTTTAAAAGTTCTTGAGGGTTGTGAAACCCTAAAGAAGTAGTCCCAAGGCTAACCAAGAGGGAGGTGAATTCGTGATTTAGAAAACTTCTTTAGACATAAACAAAAATCACATTCATAAAGATTTTTCAAAATATGAAAATATATAATTAATACAACGTAATATCAATCACAGATTTCAACCATACAGTTATATCTAAAAATTAATGTGAAAAATAAAGTTCAAAAAAATAAAATAAAGAATAAACATACTAGAGATTTATAGTGGTTTGGTTAATCTAAGCTATGTCTACTTCCCAAAATCTCCCATTATAGGTATTACACTAAATCTTTAGTAACTCTCATTTAGCCCACACAGCTAGGTAGAGAAGCCCTAACAAAATTACTTTCACCTTCCCAGGTACGACAGAGTACCATAATCCTTTTCCTCCATTTAGAAGATAATAGAGGACTAATAATCCTTTCACATGAAGAGAATCTTGAATTATTTTTACCCTTTTCGATGCAGTGAAGTAGCCAAGTCCTTTGACAACAAAGAGATCTAATTCTTTCCAAAACTTCCCTAAAGATAAACATTTAATTTGATAGTATTAAGATGTAAGCTTGTCAGAGCAACCGTGTGAAACCCTCTCTACACTCTCTTAAAACCCACAAGGATGTTCTCCCTCTCAAACTCCATATTTTTCTCTCTCACTTTTTAGGCTCTCTCTTCAAATTTTCTTTGGAAGAATAAAGACTCAATACATGCCCTATACAATTAGTTCAAGTATTTGAACATATCGTCAAGTACGATTTTGAGATCTAAGATGATTAGTTCAACTAAAATGTTGTTCATCCAGGATGAAACATGGGATGATAAAAAATATCCATGTTGATCATACAGTATGATCTAGTTCATACAATACAATCAGAATATCAAAATTAAGCCAATTCGATTGACCAATCATAGGATCAATTTAGGCATGATTATCATAGATCATCTAGTATGATGTACATCAACTTTGATAATTAGAATAAAATATGAAATTCTAATTTTTTTTCCTAAACTATAATTGGCAACTATTTTTCATGATCATAACTAATCATCATGAATGTCCTAAATTGATGAATATAATTAGTTAGATGAGCTGATCATACAATATAATAAAATTGTACAATATAATTAGTTCAAAATTTGAGCTTCTAGTTTTGACTCAATCTCACTCCTCCTAAGTGTGTGTATGAATGATTATTAAATTATTATACACCCTAAGAACATGACTTAAGAAATAAAAAATATATCCATGAATATTATATAAATCTTTACAACAGAGCCTATTCTATCTAATTTTGAGCATCTAATTTTCATTCGATGGTGCATGATGTTCCTGAAATATTAGTATAGACATAAATAAATATAAATTATAAATACAAGTAGACATAAGAATGTGAGCCATAATATTTGTTATCATCAAAAATAAAAACTCGTGAACTTGAGTTGCAATAATCTTAACTTTTTGATGATGCCAAATATTACTGATTACAACAACAACAACAACATCAAGACTTTATCCCACTACGTGGGGTCGGCTACATGAATCCTTTTTCTCCATTGTGTCTTATTAAAGGTCAAATTCTCATTTAAATCTAATAAAGAAAGGTCATTTCTAATATTTTCTAACAAAGTCTTTTTAGGTCTGCCTCTACCTTTCTTAATATAAGTCACATCTAATACCTCTACTCTCCTAACTGGGTCATTAGAAGGCCGTCGTTTTATATGACCAAACCATCTAAGGCGACTCTCTCTAATCTTATCTTCTATTGGAGCTACTCCAACCTTTTCACATAAATGCTCATTTCGTATCCTATTTATAAGGGTAAAGCCACTCATCCACCTGACCATCCTCATCTCTGCCACACTTAACTTAGTATTATGCTTCTCTTTTAATGGCCAACATTCAACACCATAAAGTATTGCAGTCCTCACTACCATCTTATAGAATTTTCCCTTAAATTTGAGGGATTCTTTTCTATCACACAACAAGCCCGATGCATTCCTCCGCTTCAACCATCCAACTTAAATTTTGTTGATAATATCCCCATCTATTTCACCATCACTCTGAACAATAAATCCATGATATCTAAACGTGTACTCTTATTAATGATTTGATTGCCCAAAATCATAATCCCCTCACTAGGTCTATTACTACTAAAATTATACTCAATATATTCAATTTTAGATCTACTCAAGTGAAAACCTTTAGTCTCTAATGTTGACCTCCATAATTCAAGTTTACTTTCCACTCCCTCTCTAGTCTTATCAACAAGAATAATATCATCAGCAAAAAACATACACCAAGGTACATCCTCTTGCAAATGTCTAGTGAGAACATCCATGACTAAAGCAAAAAGATATGGGCTTAAGGCTGATCCTTGATGTAACTCAATCGAAATAGGGAAATACTTGGTCAAACAACCTTGTGTTTGAACATAAGTAATAGCTCCTACATAT